ATTAGTATCTCGGCATTGTGTTTTAGCCCTAGAGCAGCTTGCACGTGGGCCACGTTCGTGATCATAATCTAATAGATGTACACTTAACACAATAACACCATCACCTCAGTTATGTGGCTAGTTATGTGTTGCTATAATCACACCCCAACCTATGTTCACAATTTATTTTAAAAAATATTTCGAAATGCTATAATTTTAAGGTACAAATGAAGATCATCGTGGAGATGAGGCTGGTCAGTTAAGAACTCATAAAAAGGCTCAGAATACACCAAGTGCCCCACTACATGGATCATCCGAAGGGTTTAATGGTCAGACCAGCCCGGATGACGATGTGATAAACGCTGAAAGTCAGGTAAAAGTCCTTGATTCTTTAAAAGCTTTGATGAATAAAATCTTTCAAATCAATGCTTTGACGATATATAATTCCTGCTCATTCCAGAACATTCCACTTATGCGAGTTGTAATGTCCAAAAAGCAAACCAAACGGAAGAATAACAAAGTGCTAAAAGAAGGCTGGGTAGTACACTACACAAATCAAATGAATATGGTGAGTGGCAAATTCATAATCAAGATTTTGAGAATTTGGAAGAAAATTTTATTTTTTATAGAGGAAGAAACATTATTGGCGGCTAGATACAAAAAGTCTAATAATGTATCAGGATGAAACTTCAACCCGATATTTCAAGGTAGGACTGAATTATTTATTTTTAATTAGTTTCTCAGTCATTTTTCTCATTTCTCAAAAGTCGTCCACTTTTCCATCCATTCATTCATTCACTCATTCATTCATTCATTACTTCATTATTTATTTCATTATTTTATTCAATCAATCACTCACTCATTCAATCCATTTATTTTCTATTCATTTATTTTTCCACCGCATCCATTGCGCGCATTCATTCAATCGTTCTAATCATTCAATCACTCATTTTATTTTTTCTACTCATTTTATTCTTCCTCATTCACTCGATCATTAGTTTATGTTCAGGAGATACCTTTGAACGAAGTTTTGGGGCTGGAAAATGTTGACCATAGTTCCTTGAAACGAAGTCCAACGCATTTCTTCGAAATCAGAACTCAAGACACCACCTA